TGGGGGAAGAGGTCAGGGTGAGGACGGCTGCTTGCATGAATTTCTTTTTGGTTTGCATTTGTTCCTATCAGTTATTATTATTAATAAGAGAATTTACTACCCACACTTCTCCATAAAATCTCAGGGCAGGTTTTTTTTAAAAATAACAATATTCTATTATAGGAATTTTATTTATTAAAAGACAAAATGAGAAAGAAAGAAAGGGAGTTGAAAACAAAAACAAAGAAGTAACAAGATAGTAGGAATACACACACCTGTATACTGATGTATGGTAAGGTAAGAGTACAGATCTCAGGGTAGTTAACAACAAAACAAAAATACATTTCTTGCATCGTATTATCATATCATGCTTCCCTACTATTTTGATAGCTACTCTTGCCCTATTTTAAATAAATGCATCTTTTTTTTATTTCTAGACCCTGGGCAGTGCCCTTCAGCTAATCTTTCCATACCAGAAGGTGCCTCTGGGACGATCAATCCTAATAATATATTGAACCATTCCAATAGTCTTGCTTTGTACAAGAAGAACCACTCCTCATCTTCTTGGCAATACATCTTGAGCACAGACAAGGGGCACCTGAATCACAGTGTCAACATGTATGAAGAGCAATTCTATATATCTGACAGTGGCCTTACTATCAAATATGCTTATGAAGGACTCGCTGGAGAGTACCAGCTTGTTCATCAGCAAAATGGATCCTGTGTGCTTCAGTTCTTCCTTAATATACCTGGTAAGTTTCTGATGTGATTGACATCTAGATTCACAGCCACTGGGGGAGGAGACACTGGTTCCTTTTATTCATTTCTGTTTGTTATAGATTTGTTCTGTTCAAGGAGCTTTAGAGGTTTCCCAGATTCAAGGTGTTGCCTGAGGATGCTCCTAGAGTTTTTGTTTTCTGGGCAAAGGTGCCCTTCATAGTGCAATAAAATCATGTATCTCTTAAGATGTGATCCGCTTTGTCCTATTCATAGTTTCATATGAAAACCATTAATATGTTGCCTTCTATCTGCACTTTCCATGATTTGTCCTTCTGAAAACTTCTGCATACTAGAAGGTTCCTCTAGGATGATCATTTCTAATATATCAATCCATTCCCTGCTACAAGCTCCCCATATCTGATATAATTCAGCCCCTAATTCATGGCATGGATATTTTTCTTAAAAAGCAAATACAAAACTAAAACCTGCTATAAAGGTCAGCAGTTGAATCCATAGGCTTGCAAATAACTTGTGACCCACCAAGAAGAACCACAGATCACTAGCGATGTATTATGGACTGTATCCAAATACTTTTTACTCAGAGTAGACTCACTGAAATGAATGGACCTATGTTAATCACATCTGTTAATTTCAACGGGTCTGCTATGGTATGCTATGGTACACTAGGGCTACATAATATCCATTCTGCATCTGTAATAACTCAATCATTTAGTGTGGCAGCACTTACTTAGACTTTGGAACTCCCTGCCTGTTGAGATGAAGCAGATGCCTTCACTATACACTTTTCAGTGCCAGCTAAAAACATTCTTGATTAGACAAGCCTACCCAAATGCTTAGATAGTTGAGGTAATTTTGATCTGCTTGAGTATTTTGACTTATGTATGTTTTCAAGTATTGCTTGCTTTTACCGGTTTATCTTTTGTAAACCGCTTTGCGGGATTGTTTGTTTTTAACAATCAAGCGGTATATAAATAAATAGGCAGGAACTTCCAACGTGGTGAGGTTCTGAAGTTACTGTCAAATGGATTCACCACTGGGGTTGAGGGTGGGGGAAGAGGTCGGGGTGAGGACAGCTGCTTGCATGAATTTCTTTTTGATTTGCATTTGTTCCTATCAGTTATTATTATTAATAATAGAATTTACTACCCACACTTCTCCATAAAATCTCAGGGCAGGTTTTTTTTTAAAATAACAATATTCTATTATAGGAATTTTATTTATTAAAAGACAAAATGAGAAAGAAAGAAAGGGAGTTGAAAACAAAAACAAAGAAGTAACAAGATAGTAGGAATACACACACCTGTATACTGATGTATGGTAAGGTAAGAGTACAGATCTCAGGGTAGTTTACAACAAAACAAAAATACATTTCTTGCATCGTATTATCATATCATGCTTCCCTACTATTTTGATAGCTACTCTTGCCCTATTTTAAATAAATGCATCTTTTTTTTATTTCTAGACCCTGGGCAGTGCCCTTCAGCTAATCTTTCCATACCAGAAAGTGCCTCTGGGACGATCATTCCTAATGATATATTCAACCATTCCAATAGTCTTGCTTTGTACAAGAAGAACCACTCCTCATCTTCTTGGCAATACATCTTGAGCACAGACAAGGGGCACCTGAATCACAGTGTCAACACGTATGAAGAGCAATTCTATATATCTGACAGTGGCCTTACTATCAAATATGCTTATGAAGGACTCGCTGGGGAGTACCAGCTTGTTCATCAGCAAAATGGATCCTGTGTGCTTCAGTTCTTCCTTAATATACCTGGTAAGTTTCTGATGTGATTGACATCTAGATTCACAGCCACTGGGGGAGGAGACACTGGTTCCTTTTATTCATTTCTGTTTGTTATAGATTTGTTCTGTTCAAGGAGCTTTAGAGGTTTCCCAGATTCAAGGTGTTGCCTGAGGATGCTCCTAGAGTTTTTGTTTCTGGGCAAAGGTGCCCTTCATAGTGCAATAAAATCATGTATCTCTTAAGATGTGATCCGCTTTGTCCTATTCATAGTTTCATATGAAAACCATTAATATGTTGCCTTCTATCTGCACTTTCCATGATTTGTCCTTCTGAAAACTTCTGCATACTAGAAGGTTCCTCTAGGATGATCATTTCTAATATATCAATCCATTCCCTGCTACAAGCTCCCCATATCTGATATAATTCAGCCCCTAATTCATGGCATGGATATTTTTCTTAAAAAGCAAATACAAAACTAAAACCTGCTATAAAGGTCAGCAGTTGAATCCATAGGCTTGCAAATAACTTGTGACCCACCAAGAGGAACCACAGATCACTAGCGATGTATTATGGACTGTATCCAAATACTTTTTACTCAGAGTAGACTCACTGAAATGAATGGACCTATGTTAATCACATCTGTTAATTTCAACGGGTCTGCTATGGTATGCTATGGTACACTAGTGCTACATAATATCCATTCTGCATCTGTAATAACTCAATCATTTAGTGTGGCAGCACTTACTTAGACTTTGGAACTCCCTGCCTGTTGAGATGAAGCAGATGCCTTCACTATACACTTTTCAGTGCCAGCTAAAAACATTCTTGATTAGACAAGCCTACCCAAATGCTGAGATAGTTGAGGTAATTTTGATCTGCTTGAGTATTTTGACTCATGTATGTTTTCAAGTATTGCTTGCTTTTACCGGTTTATCTTTTGTAAACCGCTTTGCGGGATTGTTTGTTTTTAACAATCAAGCGGTATATAAATAAATAGGCAGGAACTTCCAACGTGGTGAGGTTCTGAAGTTACTGTCACCTGGATTCACCACTGGGGTTGAGGGAAGAGGTCAGGGTGAGGACGGCTGCTTGCATGAATTTCTTTTTGGTTTGCATTTGTTCCTATCAGTTATTATTATTAATAATAGAATTTACTACCCACACTTCTCCATAAAATCTCAGGGCAGGTTTTTAACAATCAAGCGGCAGCAACTTCCAACGTGTTGATGTTGCCACACTAAATTTAAAACGATATTAAAAATGAAAACCTTCCTCAAAAAAGGCTGAGACGTTCTTCTTGGGAACGTTAACAAGAGAAGTCCCTAAAAAAAGAGACTATATTATTATTATAATAATGACACCAACAAAACAGCTTGCTGGAGAATACCAACTTGAAGATTTCATGGGAAACATTTGTTTCTATCGAGTCTTCCTTAGCGTACCTGGTGAGGTTCGGAAGTTACTGTCACATGGATTCACCACTGGGGTTGAGGGTGGGGGAAGAGGTCGGGGTGAGGACGGCTGCTTGCATGAATTTCTTTTTGGTTTGCATTTGTTCCTATCAGTTATTATTATTAATAAGAGAATTTACTACCCACACTTCTCCATAAAATCTCAGGGCAGGTTTTTTTTTTAAAATAACAATATTCTATTATAAGAATTTTATTTCTTAAAAGACAAAGTGAGAAAGAAAGAAAGGGAGTTGAAAACAAAAACAAAGAAGTAACAAGATAGTAGGAATACACACACCTGTATACTGATGTATGGTCAGGTAAGAGTACAGATGTCAGGGTAGTTAACAACAAAACAAAAATACATTTCTTGCATCGTATTATCATATCATGCTTCCCTACTATTTTGATAGCTACTCTTGCCCTATTTTAAATAAATGCATCTTTTTTATTTCTAGACCCTGGGCAGTGCCCTTCAGCTAATCTTTCCATACCAGAAGGTGCCTCTGGGACGATCAATCCTAATAATATATTGAACCATTCCAATAGTCTTGCTTTGTACAAGAAGAACCACTCCTCATCTTCTTGGCAATACATCTTGAGCACAGACAAGGGGCACCTGAATCACAGTGTCAACATGTATGAAGAGCAATTCTATATATCTGACAGTGGCCTTACTATCAAATATGCTTATGAAGGACTCGCTGGAGAGTACCAGCTTGTTCATCAGCAAAATGGATCCTGTGTGCTTCAGTTCTTCCTTAATATACCTGGTAAGTTTCTGATGTGATTGACATCTAGATTCACAGCCACTGGGGGAGGAGACACTGGTTCCTTTTATTCATTTCTGAATGAATGAATGAATGAATGAAGCATGAAGTGCAAGTAGATAAATAGGTACCACTGCGGTGGGAAGGTAAATGGCATTTCCGTGCGCTGCTCTGGTTCGCCAGAAGCGGCCACATGACCCAGAAGCTGTATGCCGGCTCCCTCGGCCAGTAAAGCGAGATGAGCGCCGCAACCCCAGAGTCGTCCATGACTGGACCTAACGGTCAGGGGTCCCTTTACCTTTACTTTTAAAAGCCAGGGTGGATAAGTGGTCAGAATGTCACACTAGAACTGAGAAAATCAAGGTTCAAATCCCTGCTCAGACATGAAGATGATTGTGTGATCCTTAGCTAGTCACTAACTCTTCAGCCCACCTCACATTGTTGTAGGAATAATAAAATGGATCGTGGAGGGAGGCATGCTTGCCGCCTTATGCTCCATCTATAACTGAGACCTGAGTGGGGCAACAAAGAGAATTTGCCTCTCACACTTAATTCCTTCTGGGTTTTCAGAGCGGCATTAGAGCAGACCTGGAGGATCAGGGTGAGGGAGTTGCTGTAGTCCATAGAAATCCAGTCTTCCTCTCAAGGCTTCCAGCTTGCTGAACCCAATAGCTGAGGGCAATGGAGCAAGCTGGAAGATGGCAATAATGCAAGTGGGCGAAGACTCCCAGTAAATACAATCAAACCCAATTGTGTGCTCACTGTCAAGCCTATTTTGTGGTGGTAAAGGCAATGAAAAGACTTCCTTCTCTTCCTCAGTTGTGTCCTTGATGTCTAGCACACCTTACAGGCAGTGTGAGACCTTTTTATATACTGGCCCAAAGGTGGATCCCCGAGTAGTTTTATCAGTAATACTGAGGATACAACCACTTTCAGGGATCCAGATTCTGCTATTGTAGCAAGTCACTTTGAGGTGTCCAGGCAGTATTCTGGCCAGGTGTTAATGGGCGATTCCCCATTGATAAGGCTCAAGGATGTGGACAAGGTGCTTGGATGGTCACAAGGTGGCTACCACGCTTCATGGCTCATCATATCTGACAGGGATGGGACACCAGTGATGCCAAGGAAGTAAACAAATGCCTCTCTGAGAGGAGAGACCACTCCTTAAGAAACCCTCCCTGAGCTCAGAAGATCTGAATCATTATAGCCTGCTTGCAAATGTCTCTTCCTAGGCAAGGTTTTTGAGCAGGCGGTTCCTGAACTCCAGACTAGTTGGATGAGATTAATTTTGTACTCAGGCCCATTTCTGGCCCTGAGATGGCCTTGGCTGCCCTGTACGCAGGAGACACTGGTGGGAAGGAGCTTAGCATTCCACTGGGCCTCCTGGCCAGTGCCGGATTTACGCCCCACTCACTTGGGGGCCTCCAAAAAACTTAAAGGAAAAAGAACCTGGATGTACATTTCCAACATATAAGATAAAAAACAAATAAAATAAAACCTACATACAGCAACAGTGTTTTTTTTGTTGCGTGGACCTATTAGGAACATAAATTACCATATAGCATATATTCAACACAAAAAACAGTGACACTTTGTTGTTGACAAAGGACAGCTGGACATATAAAGGGCCCCATTACCTTCAGTAGCTTTGGGCCTCATCAAACCTAAACCCGGCCTTGCTCCTGGCACCGGCATCTGTCTTACTTAAGCTTACTTCAGAGGGTGAGGTGAGAAGTTAGTCCTATTAGTAATATGTTTGTGTATTTTTATTGTATTTTTACTTTAGCTGTAAATCCTTTGGGGGCTTGTTGTCATGGGAAGCGATCTATAAACCTAAACCTAACCTTTGAAGGAGAGGCATGCTATAAAGGCAACACAAAATAAATAATAGACTCATACCAGTAGACATTAAAACAGATTTGTTGTGCCTCCTGCCATAATGGCTGAAACCTCAGCTGGTAGAGCATGAGACTCTTGATCTCGGGGTCATGGGTTCAAGCTCCACGTTGGGCAAAAGACTCCTACATTGCATGAGGTTGGACTAGATGACCTCTGTGGTCCCTTCCAACTCTACAGTTCTATTATTTTAAGGCACATAGGTCTGGTTCTATCTAGCCTTCTTGGTGGGGTGGAATAATGCAACACATAGCTCTTTCCATGGTACAGCTGCACTTAAAGGGTGTCAGAAGCATGACCGCTGACTTTTTCCTATTTTTCAGTTTCAGGACGCAGACATTATGGCCTTTACGGCGTACTAGGGCTTGCCATCATTTTGTTGGGGCTCTATCTATGTTGGAAATGGAAAAGGGGAGACAAAGGCACTGCTCAACTTGCTGGTGGCTTGGCAAATGGAACTCTGCCTCCTGAGTCACCAGAGGTGCAAGAAAGCAGCGCAGACCCACCCAGGAGAGAAAATGGGAACTCTTTTCCTCATGAATGCGACACTGAAACAAATGCCTTCCTGCCTTGAAGGACTGCTCCTTTCATTTTTCTAGCCATATGCTATTTAAGATGATGGCCATGTGCAATGTACATACCCTGATATCACCCCCCTCCATATAAAACCTTCACACACCCTCCTGACTGTACCATTTTTTAAAAAGCCAAGTGGCCTGGAAGTGTATTTTCTTGTGAATTGCACAAAACGATGGGAAGCAGTTTGAGGGCATCAGCTCTGCTGAAAGACCAGCATTTGAGTTCAGTTCCCCCAAGCAAGGAAGCCTCATGCTCTCCCGTTGGAGGAGACCCTGGTGCCAACTCTGGCAGACCCTGCTCCTATGAAGATTACCCACTCTGGGATCCCACCAGTGGCGTAGCGTGGGGGGTGCAGGGGGGGCCGGCCACACTGGGCGCAACATCGGGGGGGGGCGCTCGCACTCGCAGCTCTCTGCCCCTACCTGGCTCACTCACTCTCTCTCACTGCAGTGCTGGCTGTGCGAATCCGATCCGAGCCGCTGGGTCGCCGCCCACTGTGGAGGGGGTGGGTGCCAGGCGTGCGGTGCGGAGAGAGAGCGAGGGACTATCTGGGGGAGGGACAGTGCAGCGGCCGCCCAGCGCAGGAGCGCGGGAGAGAACCACACCAGACCAGACCAGGCAGTGGCAAGAAGAAGCTGGCAGCGGCGGCAGGTGACACAGGCCAGAGAGGAGAGAGCCAGTGGTGACGGGTTAGGGGGTGCAAATTACGGGAGAGAGACAGTGGTGACGGGTTAGGGGGCGCAAATTACTTGCCTTGCCCCGGGTGCTGACAACCCACGCTACGCCACTGGATCCCACAGCTAATTCTCCCTGGCCTCCTCTCTGGCCCAAGTAGGACCAATTCAGCCAGCTAGCTCTGGGAATTATCTAATTGATTTTTGATTTTTATTGTTATGCATGTTTTTATACTGTATTTTATGCTGCTTTTATAGTTGAGTGTTTTAAAGTGTTTTAAATTTGTTGTCACCTACCCGCCCCATCCCCCCCCAAAAAAGTACAGTGGTACCTCGGGTTACAGACACTTCAGGTTACAGGTGCTTCAGGTTACAGACTCAGCTAACCCAGAAATATTACCTCAGGTTAAGAACTCTGCTTCAGGATGAGAACAGAAATCGTGCTCCGGCAGCATGACAGCAGCAGAAGGTCCCATTAGATAAAGTGGTACCTCAGGTTAAGAACAGTTTCGGTTTAAGAATGGACCTCCAGAACGAATTAAGTTCTTAACCTGAGGTACCACTGTACTTAGTCCTGAGCTGGAGGAACCAACTGTCTGGCATAGTCATAAGGAGGCTCCCTATCTTCCTAAAAGGGCTTCCACGGTGGCTGCAGGTGTACAATGCACAACTGTCCCTTATTTCTGCAGTTGTCGGAAATGCAGATGAGAGAAAGAAAAGGTACAGGCTGGCATTTTGAGAAGGACGACGGACCCTGCGAAAGCGCTCAAGAGCCAAACCCACAATAAACTCCCTCTTACCTCCAAAAAGCAAAGTCCCCCTTCTTGGCATCCCTTGCGCTGTTCTGGTTGCCACAGCGTATTGTCCACTTTCTCCTAGAGAAGGGAGGAGAATCTGCGAGATGGGGGAGGTCAGGGAGCCTGCCTTGTTTTATCCTTTTCCGGAGAGTCTTTGATGCCTGCTCACCTTGCAGCTCTTGAGTCCTGTCCAGCAAGGATCTGAAGCTGGGTCCAGCCTGGATAGACAAGTGGGTGCAGCCATAGCAAATGGTAGGGGTGTGTTTGTCTTCCTGGTGGCACAGCATTGCTCAGAATCATCCCCATGAACTTCACAGTGTGGCGTCTGGTGCTCATCTTCGCTTTCTCCCTCTGGCTGCCTCTTCTGGATCACTCTGGGCTTTCTCTCTTCTTTTGAGCCTCTCCAGTTTTGTGGGACAAGTTCCTCATTCGCCATGCTGGCCTGGATTGTCTGTCAGGACAAGAGGACCCAGCGATCAAGCTCTCTCTTGACCGCTGCTGTCCCAGAAAGGTGTGATGCAGTCCCCCCAGGAGGCAGTCTTCCCACCCACAGCTTAACAGCACCACAAACAGGTCAAGCTGCCAAGGGAGATACTTGCTGAAATCCCGAGCCATTTCTGCTTGCAGATATCCGATTGCGATAGTTCAAGGACTCCAGTTTTACTTTCCTTTCTCTGATACATTTCCTGCTTCTGTCCACCCCTTTACAGGAGGAGTTAGGAAGGGTTAGCCAGCGGTTAGGGAAGGAACTGATTTCCTGCTGACAGGCAGTGAGCAAAGCGCAACACAGAGACTGGCTCATTTCCATAGCTGTCAACGTTTCCCTTTTTTTAAAGGGAAATTCCCTTATTCCGAATAGGATTCCTCGCAAGAAAAGGGAAAAGTTGACAGCTATGCTCATTTCTCAAATGCAACTCTCCTTGGTGCTCTTTGATGGGCACACTTCAGCGGTGTGGTTCATTACCCAAAGAACATATCAGTTCAACGAAAATAAGGGAGCATTTATTCTGAAAGGCGCGGTAGATGTTCTCTGCGTCAAACGCAACTCCCCACCAGCAGTCTTCTTCTCCGCCCGCCTCTATACACCTCTCAGAGGATTTTCCTTCAAAGTGTAGCGAATCTCTTAAAGGTATATCGCCAAGTCATAAGAAATTACAAACCACACCTCTGCCTCACACTAGGGTTACACTTAAATAAAGCAGCCCGGCCCCAGCACGTGCGCAACACCCCACGAAAGGGTAAACGATATTCTTTATGATAAAGGTCGGAGAAGCTGAGTCTGCAAAACACGCTTATTTCCACATACGGAGCCCGCTGGGTGCTGGAAATGGAACGTTGAAACGAAGAGACAGAGAGCCCTGTCAATCAAGGAGCAGGGTGCCCCGTAAAACAGCGGGACTCCAATTACCAGCGCAAACCTCTTATTAAAGTTGTCAAATAAAGGAAAACAGCACTCCAGCTTCTGCTTTCATCAAAAGTAAAGTTTTATTTCCACCTCTCTGCACAAATGTCCCCAAGGAAGACGAATAACACTGTATCAATGTATCGATAGACTTGGATGTATCAATACGCTTAAATGTATCCTGTCTGTATCTTGAAATCAACATATTGTTTCACCGATAATATCATTGTTACTGTATCTTCCTTTCCCAGCACCTGGAGGAAATAATAGTTATTATTATTATTACAGTGGTACCTCGGGTTAAGTACTTAATTGGTTACGGAGGTCTGTTCTTAACCTGAAACTGTTCTTAACCTGAAGCACTATTTCTGGGTTAGCGGAGTCTGTAACCTGAAGCGTATGTAACCTGAAGGATATGTAATCCGACGTACCACTGTATTATTATTATTATTATTTATACCCTACCCATCTGGCTGGGTTTCCCCAGCCACACTGGGCGGCTTACAGAATATATAAAACATAACAAAGCACCAAACATTAAAAACTTCCCAATACAGGGCTGCCTTCAGATGTCTTCTAAAAGTTGTATAGTTCTTTATTTCCTTGCCCTCTGCCTGGTTCCCTGTAATCTCGCTTCTTGCAGTGAGGGAACCAGCAGAAGGCCCTTGGAGGAGGACTTCAGTGTCCAGGCTGAGTGATGGAGGTGGAGATGCTCCTTCAGGTATACTGGGCCCAGGCCCAGTACAAGCACAGTTTATAATGGAAACCTAATCTCTCTAAATATGTCAATGTAAAGCTATTCCTAATCTCTCACACTCATTATAACACACATTCCAATAAGTAACCGGTCTTCCGTTGTCATAGAATCATAAAATCGTGGCGTTGGAAGGGACCCCAAGGGTCATCTAGTCCAACCCTGATCCAACCTCTTCTGATGTGTACATGATGTAGTTCTGACACTAAGGGAAGGTGGGTATCGGAAAGATGACACTGTAACCAAAAGGTATAAAAATTGTAACCTGCCATTGCTTGGGATTCTCTGGCTCTTTGGCTACTTAGAAGGAGACCCTGTTGCAACAGTATCACAATAAAGATCAGGCTTACTGATCCACCTGACTTGGCCTCAGGCTCTCTTTAATTCCCTGACCGATGGAGGACTCTTGAAAATCTATGTGGGTCTTTCAGACCTGGGGAGAATTTGCATTGTCTTGAATTCTCCCTGATATTTCAACCACAACAGGCATTCATTCTTCCCAAGGAACTCTAGGAACTGTAATTCTTAGGGGTGGGGGTGAGGCTAGTGACCAATAGAATTATCGAGGCCCCACTAAACTACAATTCCTATAATACTATTGTGAGTTTGGGGGGTTAGTTTGCATGATGCCTGAGTCCCTTGTGATTCCTGGGGTCCTGGGTCCAGGAAGGGCTAAAATCTACTCTGTGAGCCAGTCTATCACTATTTTGCAGGTAGGAATCAGTCTGAGACTAGCAAACTCAGGTTGCACAATCAAAGGGGATTTTGCTCTCTTGCACAAGAAACCCACTTTCAGAAAATCTGACTTTTCGCTGTAAGGAAAGTGATGGGAAAACAATTGCTTGAAGTGACGTCATGTATCTCCTCACAAACAAATCGGGATGAAAGCTCTATGAAGAGGTAATTGTGTTCTAATTAGCACTGCAGGCAGGAAGGATGCACTATTCTTACATAAATGAAATCCAAGCAAAAGCCAGACCTCTGGCCCTCCACTTCAATTCCACCCATCATTGCTATTGAAAAGGGATGATGGGAGTTGTAGTCCAACATCATCCAGAAGGCCACAGGTTCCCAGGAAGTGTTGCAGCGAACAAGTTAAAGGAAAGACTGAAAGATGGCTGGTCAGCTGGTATCTCCCCACTTAAACTGGATTTGCCATTTCAAGACAAAATCCAGTAAGTTTTAAAATCCCACAACCCGTTGTCAATGACCCATTTGTGATACCTCAACAATTTCTTTGCAGTACAGTGGTACCTCATGTTAAGTACTTAATTTGTTCCGGAGGTCCGTTCTTAACCTGAAACTGTTCTTAACCTGAAGCACCACTTTAGCTAATGGGGCCTCCCGCTGCTGCCGCACAGCTAGAGTCCGATTTCTGTTCTTATCCTGAAGCAAAGTACTTAACCTGAAGCACTGTTTCTGGGTTAGCAGAGTCTGTAACCTGAAGCGTATGTAACCTGAAGCATATGTGACCCGAGGTACCACTGTATTTAGCTCCGCCTGGAAGCACCCTCCTGTCACTTGCCAAATAAAAAATTGGTTCAAAGTGCGTACTGCTTGAATACTCTTCCATCATGTGGAAGAGATGGGGGGGAAATGGGATAACCCCAAAACGGCAATATGGCAAACACACGTTACATCGCACAGTGGCATGTAATAATTTTAGCAAACCTTTTCGCATTACTGCCCATTTGGAAAAAAGTAGGTTTTTGTTCTGGTTGAAAAGTCATATGGTTCATTCCCCCCAAAATGCAGGAACAGGCAGCCTGCAAGGCAATTTTTGAGATAGTGTACATAAGCCTGAGATCTGATGGACAACTGGTGTTACTCCTCTTGCAGTGAATGTACCTAGAGAGCCAGTCTCATAATCATCCCTGCTGAATTTCAAACAGCTCTTCAAGGCCATAACTTGACTTGGTTTTTGTTTCCTTCCTTCCTGCTAGAAGCTAGAAACTAGAAACGTGGAGATAAGGTGGAAACACAGTTGACATCTAGGGATGAGCACATGGGCCAAAAGAAGAGTCATGGGGAGGGAGGGAGAACTTTTCAGATTGGAGCAGAGCCATTTCCTTTATTCCTACTAGACTCGCCATTCTCTCACAACACCACTACTTAGCAAGCAGTTTCCTTTTTCCTTTTCCTGATGATAATTCTCTGTCCCACTGTTTACTATCTCTGATCCCTGTCCTTCCCTCTGTGAAACTTTTCTGTCCTCAGTGCTCACTATCAGTTTTCATCTGAAGCTGTTTGTTTAATTGCTGAACAGTTTGAAAGTTTGTAAATATTTCAGCGACACCATAGCCATTGAGACAATGACTGGATCCTCGCCAGGATCTAAGAGCCAAGGCTACATTCAACACTTTTTCTTTTTTTTTGCAGAAGCATATCCTCCAACATTCCGCTGATGAAAACAGGGAAAAGAAAGAGAGCACAAATTTGGTCTGAAGCTCAACATCAAAAAAACGAAGATCATGGCCACTGGGCCCATCACCTCCTGGCAAACAGAAGGGGAAGAAATGGAGGCAGTGAGAGATTTTTACCTTCTTGGGCTCCATGTTCACTGCAGATGGTGACAGCAGCCACGAAATTAAAAGACGCCTGCTCCTTGGGAGAAAAGCGATGGCAAACCTAGACAGCATCTTAAAAAGCAGAGACATCACCTTGCCAACAAAGGTCCGTATAGTTAAAGCTATGGTTTTCCCAGTAGTGATGTATGGAAGTGAGAGCTGGACCATAAAGAAGGCTGATCGCCGAAGAATTGATGCTTTTGAATTATGGTGCTGGAGGAGACTCTTGAGAGTCCCATGGGCTGCAAGAAGATCAAACCTCTCCATTCTGAAGGAAATCAGCCCTGAGTGCTCACTGGAAGCTGAGGCTCCAATACTTTGGCCACCTCATGAGAAGAGAAGACTCCCTGGAAAAGACCCTGATGTTGGGAAAGATGGAGGGCACAAGGAGAAGGGGACGACAGAGGACGAGATTGTTGGACAGTGTTGTCGAAGCTACCAGCATGAGTTTGACTAAACTGCGGGAGGCAGTGGAAGACAGGAGTGCCTGGAGTGCTCTGGTCCATGGGGTCACGAAGAGTCGGACATGACTAAACGACTAAACAACAACAACAACAGAGTGAGGTACCAAAAGATGTGTGCTATGTGAGTCAGCTGCTAGTGCGATAGGCAGAGGTGCCAACTTGAATAAAATATCGGGGGGGGGGGGGGCAGGTAAGCCACATCCCACATAATCAATGACATGGCACGAACAGATTTGAATGGTAATGCCCTTCAACACTGGGAGGCCCCAGCCCCCTCAAATATTTGATTGGGGGGCCAGAGACCCCCTCAGCCCCTAGGAGGTGGCTCCTGTCAGGAAGCATGCTGAGGAGGGCTGCTCTGAGGAGAAATGGTGGGAGCCTCCCCCTACCCCTCCTCCTGATCAGGATCCCAAATCTTAGCTTGCCAGAAGCAGGAGGACAGTATAGATTTGGACCAGTGGTTTGCAGAGGAACATAGTTCAGAAGGCAGAAGCTGGGAAATACTGGATGGGGAACAGTTAGCAGGGGTCAGCAAACTTTTTCAGCAGGGGGCCAGTCCACTGTCCCTCAGACCTTGTGGGGGGGCCAGACTATGTTTTTTTTTGGGGGGGGATGAACAAATTCCTATGCCCCACAAATAACGCAGAGATGTATTTTAAATAAAAGCACACATTCTACTCATGTAAAAATACACTGATTCCCGGACTGTCCGTGGGCCTGATTTAGAAGGCGATTGGGCTGGATCCAGCCCCTGGGCCTTTGTTTGCCAACCCATGAGTTAGGAGAAGAAGCACTGTGGGAGTGTTAACAAATTCACTGTCTCTGGAAAGCATTCATCCGCTCAGCCTAAGGTCAAGAAGAGCTGATAAGGTGGCAGAACAGAAAGCACAGTAGTTACAAGATGCAGTAGTGATGTGGGTGACTAGGGAGGAAGTGGGTGGAACCCTTATTTGGGAGCACCTTCATTCCTAGGAATGGATTACTTGTTCTCTCACTGTGATCATTAAATTAAAAATAATTAAATAATTAAATAAAAAAATTGTCCAGTAGCACCTTAGAGACCAACTAAGTACAGTGGTACCTCGGGTTAAGAACTCAATTTGTTCTGGAGGTCTGTTCTTAACCTGAAGCACCACTTTAGCTAATGGGGCCTCCCGCTGCCGCTGAGCCGCCGCTGCACAATTTCTGTTCTCATCCTGAAGCAAAGTTCTTAACCTGAGGTAATATTTCTGGGTTAGCAGAGTCTGTAACCTGAAGCATATGTAACCTGAAGCGTATGTAACCCGAGGTACCACTGTATGTTCTGGGTATAAGCTTTCGTGTGCATGCACACTTCTTCAGACACACAGAAAAATCTGAAGAAGTGTATCTAAAGAAATGTGCTTGCACAAGAAAGTTTATACCCAGAACATACTTAGTTGGTCTCTAAGGTGCTACTGGACAATTTTTTTATTTATCTCGACTGCGTCAGATCAACACGGCTACCTACCTGAATCTGAGATCATTAAAGTTTCTAACCGGTAAGAAGCCTCCGTTTCCTTTGTTCTGCTTATCTACCGCCAAAGCAGGGAGGAAGCTGATTCCCTGAAGCCTGACAACTCCTATGGCGGGAGCATAGCACCACTGCAAGTACCAGTGCCAGCTAAAAGCACCAGTTCATCCCAGTGACAGTCCAGAATGAATTCATAAGCTGGGATGGCTTCTGTAATTCCAGGAATGCCCCATTAAAACAGGGATGGTTGGAGAGTATGCAGAAGTGTGCATAAGCAAACTTTTTTTTTTTTTTTTAAAAAGGAAACATAAGCATGTGGGCCTCTGAACTTGCTCCCAGTATAGATTGAGACCCCACTCCTTTATTCCAAACAATACCAATAATTAAAGGAGTGACAATATTTAAAGAATGGCAAAGAATAATATCAAGATACGTCTGGCAGGGCAAGAAGCCAAGAATAAATTTTAAGATATTAACAGATGCAAAAGATGAGGAGGCTTCGCCCTGCCAGATTTAAAGTTATATTATGAGGCAGCATGTCTTTGCTGGGTGAAAGAATGGATAAAGTTAGAAAATACAGAATTGTTGGATTTAGAAGGTTATGATAATAGATTTGGATGGCACGCATATTTATGGCATGAAAAAAAAAAGAGTGCATAAAGGTTTCAAAAACCACATCTTTAGAGGTCCGCTCATTGAAGTATGGAATAGGTATAAAAACCTATTAGAGTTTAAAACTCCATATTGGCTGTCGCCATTGGAGGTGATGAGTGTTAAGAAGATCAATATGACAGGGAGATGGATTACATATGAGAATTTGATAGTTAAAGAAGGAAACAAATGGAAATTGAAATCATATGAGGAAGTTAAAGAACATGTGAATGATTGGTTGCATTATTTTCAGTTGAATGCGATGTTTAAGAAAGAGTTGTTAGAAAGAGGTTTTCAAGAAGAAAAGTCTAGGTTCCATGAAGAAATTTTGAATAATGATGTAAAATTTTTATCTAAAATGTATAAATTATTACTTGAGTGGCAAACAAAGGATGAAGAAGTTAAATCAGTTATGATTCAATGGGCCAACGATTTTAGTTATAATATACAATTTGATGATTGGATAAAATTGTGGAAGGAAGGAATGAAATTTACTGCATGTACTGTAATAAAAGAAAATGTTATGAAAATGATATATAGATGGTATGTAACGCTAGTAAAACTTGGTAAGATGTATAAAGTGAGTAATAAGAGTTGGAAATGCCAGGAAAAGGAAGGAACATTTTATCATATGTGCTGGGAATGTAAAAAAATAAAATGTTTCTGGGAAATGATTTATAATGAGTTGAAGAAAATGTTGAAAGATACTTTTGTTAAGAAACCAGAAACATTTCTATTAGGAATATTAAGGAATGAAATTAAGAAGAAGGATGAGAAGTTATTTATGTATGCAATAACAGCAGCTAGAATTTTGGTGGCCCAGAAATGGAAACAGGAAGAAATGCCTACGAGGGAAGAATGGAGAATGAAACTGATGGAATGCGCAGAAATGGACAAATTAACGGGGAGAATTCGGAATCGACGAGATCAGAGATTCTCCAAGGACTGGAATAAATTTACAGAATATATCAAAAATATATGTGATGAGAAATTAACGTTTGTTTGTTTTCAAGAAGCTCTGTGAAAATAACTGGTAGAAATATTGTTTTAAAGGATATGATAAGATTAAGAGTGTTAAAGTGCAATATAAATTTAAGAAATGTGAGAAATAGTGATAATACGGAAAATTGTCAGACAAGCTGGGGGGAAGTCTAAAAGAGCTAGATGTTAGAATTTGATGTTAAACTTTGTTGGAATGTATTTCAAAAATTTAATAAAAAAGAAGAAGATTGAGACCCACTCCAATTTCTTGCTGAACCCCACCCTGTGTCAGGGACTGGACAGAGGAGGAATGGTGGAGACTGTTGTGATGTTAACATATGAGAGTGCTGGAGCGAAATAGTTAAACAGGTTAACCAATCAGGGCCCGGGGGGTGGAGTCAGTGGGACTATAAAACCAGCTCTGGGTGGGGCAAAGGAAGGAGTTCATTGGGAGTTGGGTGGAGTGGGAGTGAAATGGAATAGAGTCTGTGGGTAGGTTGAGTTAGTGTCAGAAATAAGCTGAGTCAGGAATAGTTAGGGGCTAGGAAGACAAAGTAAATATCTGAGAGGTAGTTTGGTGGTGAGGCAGGTCACAGAAGTTATAGGTCTGGATAGGCACCCCATGATTGCAATTGACTGATACCGTTTATGAAACCACAGGCTTGTTAAACTGCAATAAATAAACAAATATGTTCCAATTTAACCCTGACTGGACTCAGTATTGTCCCAGGTGGGGCCTGGGTGGTGGCAGTGAGAAATAAAGTGGTGGCACAGGGATCAATAGACGGTGAAACGTCCGGGGACCCTGTGTGATCGCCACAACCGTCTCTCCAGCCTGACCCTTCCAGAGGAGAAGAAGAAGACAGTTCAGAATTACACCAGGGCTTTGAGGGAGGTCACAGCTCAGAGGCAGATGAGGGAAAGCTGTGAAATAATGGGAGAGGAGGGGGAAGAAGACCAGACCCTGCCTCCCAGAACACAGTGGGCCTTGCAAGTAGGAGAGCAAAGAGCTCAAAGGCAAAAGGCCCTTTCCAGCACCAGTAGCGATGACTCATGAGAAAGTGGGAGGGACGGAGGGGAGTGGGGTTTCACTTAGAGCAACCTACCATTGCTCCAGAGGCTGCATTTCTAAGTCTCTCTGAGTGAATATTGAACAAATAGCATTGGTAAGAACTTTCCTTGTCTTATCCGTTCCTGGCAACCTACCGTAGGGGGTTGGATCCTTTGACGCCTGACACCCTGGATGGTATTTTTAAAACTGGGGGTTGAGCCTGAGACTTTCTGCATTTGACACAAGCATGTGCTTCACTACTGAGCTAGAATCCTTCCCCAAGCAAGGATATTCTTGGGTACAAATAGGGCCATGTATCTCTAATACAAGGGATGGGGAACCTATGTCTGGATCTTCAAAGGGCTTAGCTCATGCACCTTTCCTGGGGCACAACCCTCAAGGGTCCAGATCTGCACTCTCCTCTGGTGGTTTTACCTTGCTGGGATGTGTCCTTGAACTATCAGAGTACTTCTTGCTTGCCTGCACAGAGGATGGGTTATGGCAGGCATAGGCAAACTCGGCCCTCCAGATGCTTTGGGACTACAACTCCCATCATCCCTAGCTAATAGGACCAGTGGTCAGGGATGATGGTAACTGTAGTCCCAAAACATCTGGGGGGCCAAATTTGCCTATGCCTGGGTTATGGTGTGGGATGGGTGGCCACAACCACCTTTACCAGACCCACCACTGGAATGTGGTCCTCAAAACTTGCCCATGAGCAAATGTGGTCCTAGGGCTGGAAAATGTCCCCTACATCTGCTCTTATGTTACCTGTGATGGGATGATGAGCTGCTTGTGCGTAAAATCGTATCCCCTCAGAGTTTGTTCAAGTCCACAAACCTCTGTCTGTGGCCAGACCCCTCAGACATGGCTACTCTAGTCACTAGCAGATTCCGACAGTGGTTGCTTTCGT